GTTCAGAAGTGGCTTTAGCTTCTTAGTGCTGTGCTTTAACCCGCTACACCACCAGGGAAGGCCAGAAGAAGAAACAAATTTTTAAGTCCAAATCATCATGACTAATAGTGATAAATATTGTATCAATTATTCAAGCTTTTTATATGTACTTACTGTATCTTAAAGTACACCAAATATTATTTGGGGGTTACATTATAATTAGTAACTAGCTGGTTTGACTTAACTATATTCGGTAGATAATTTTAATTAGATAAATCATTAATCCCTCAAATAATTGCATAGGGTACTCCCATAATCTGGCATATAATGCTAAATAACTAGTTATTCTACCATAACTTTTTATTATCAATATTTTATTCTACTTAAAAATATTTTATTCTACTTTCAAAGAAACAGGAAGATTTTCCTTTGCATGGACTTTTTTTTTTTTTTTTGCACGGACTTTTCTTAAGGAAACTATTTCCCCTTCCCTTGTGAAATACTAATATTAGTCAAGATTATAGCCTCCCTAGTTATCTTTGAACTTAATAAATTATAAATTTGTTGCATCTTCTCTCATATGCCTTCAAACTTCCCAAATTTCCTTTAAGATTTTTTTCCCCCCAGCTTTGACTTTTAAGAGAGACAAGAAATTAGTTTGCCATTTCATTTCAAGTTGTTTGGCCCCTTAAAGATGCAGGCAGAAAAGGAAGACGATCTGAGGACCTTAGAATGTGGTTCTTTTTTAAGAATTATTTATACAAACAGGAGCTGGGGTGTTGGCCAGAGATGGGGGAGGGTGAGAGAATTCACCAGAGACAGAGTGGGGAGCAGAACCGGCAAATCTACTGAAACAAACCACTGAGGGAAACAGTGGGCAAGACAGGAGAGGTCTGCTGTGCCATGTGGGTCCAGGCTACCCCTTGTGCCACCAGAGAAGCCCTTGGTGTCTTTCCTTCTAGCTCAAAATGTATCTGCTTTAGATTATGTGGATCAGAAAAAAATAGATATAACCAACTTAGAGTATGGGAGGCATACAATGTGACTTATTTATGCCACCTTTGCCATATCAGTTAAAGAATAATTTGTCCCATTTTAGTCATGTATTTTCCTCACTATTGTGACTAAATTTTTGTACGAAATAGTAAGTTTGTAATTAGTTGAAAAATATTTTTTTATTTCCAAGTAGCTTATATTTTTATGTGGTCAGAATTCATGGAGTATAAAAGTGTCCTCAAAGTACCTAGTTTCCTTCTTTATTGGCAATCACTGTTATTTCTGTATCATTTCAGAAATATTTTAAGTGTGATGAGACATATTTTAAAATGTATTAATGCTTGATTATACATATTTAATATATTTCTTACTGAAATAGAATTTTGGCTTGTATGATACAGTTTTCTCTGTAGGATTGACTATAGTTTTTAAGGGTTTATTTATT